TTTGCCACCGCTCCCGAAGTTGCTGCCGGAGCCTAGTAAATTCCACCGGCGATCATACGATGGCTTAAGATGCCCTTACGAATGCCTTACGAAGGGCAAAATGGACACACGAAGTCAACACGAAAATGAACCTTCACAAGGTCCGTCGGCAATGCTTTGTGATGCCAAAGATGTTGCCACCGCTCCCGAAGTTGCTGCCGGAGCCTGAGAAACTCCACCGGCGGTCATACGATGGCTTAAGATGCCCTCACGAATGGCCCGATGTTGTTACGATCAGAGCCGAATTTGAACATTTCCTTAATCGTGTGTCCATCGGGTGTCAATTTCGGGACAGTGTGACAGGGGCTTCAAGATCGGGTAGGTAATTTCGGAGAAACCAGCTCGAGTGCGCTAGAATCTGAAAATACACAGCCGGAAGAAATCTGCTACCTCCTTACAGAGCCCTTCCTCCAACACACGAACGCGCACATGACCAATGAGGGCACGAGATAAGTTTGTGCACAGATGGAAAGCTGACAGGCAGGTGGGCCATCCAGTTACTTTAGCCGGGCCGTCTCAGACGATTGGTCGTGCTTTTACAGTACTACGGCTTCCACAGATGACATTTTTTTATGGATTTTTTGTCAAAGCACTTAAGATATTCATTGCTATCGGGATGTTAGGAGCATTCCATGGAATATAACAACAAGTGTATCTCGAGTAGGTTTCTCAAACTTACCTACCCCACCTTTAATTGATGAAATAACATTTCAAGCGAACAGATTTCCCCAAAAGTTAAGTTAGTTAGTTAGAAATATTTCTTCAAGACAGTATTGTTACACATCACATACAGCTTACTCATTATGTGAGACACGACTCAAGATGACCAATACATTCAATATCAAGATATATCATAATGACAGAGAGATGAGAAGGGCAGTGGGGACCGACCTTGACTGGTTCCAGTGGGAGAACCAGCGGATCTCTCTGTACAGCCCGTAGTTGGCCATCAGCATTTTAGGTCTAATCAGCAGTATTTTTCTGCAGGTAATAGAATACATATACTGTATATGCCAAGTCAAGTTACATAAATGCATACAAACAGAACACAAACAACATGTCTCATGAGAGTGCTGTGCTGACGTACCTGTTGAGGAACAGGACCCGGCAGTTGTAGCGCACGTTGTGATGCATGATGGGCCTGAGGGGAACACAGTGCTGTCACCAAACCAGACTTCCAGCCACACAAAGGGAGAATTCTTTCTGGTAACAACTGAAAACTTGTCCTGTTAGTTTGAAATCAGAAATCGGGGCTGCAGATGTTAAGAGGGACACTCTTAACATCTGCAGCCCCGATTGTGGTTCTGGACAATCCTCTCAACCAGGAATAATGACTGATTTTTTTTATTAATCAAAGTGATTAAAAACTGAAAAGATTTGGAATCACAGAAGGGATTGATTATGTTTGCACCAATATTCCCATCTTCATTGAAAAATATATTTATTTGATCATGGTGTGGTTCTCTTAAGAATCTGCACATACAACTGTATTTTTCATTTTAAATACATAATTACAGTTTAAAAAATATTGTGCTTCCTGCAATTTGAAGATTGCAATTTTGATAATATTTTGATTAATTATGAAGCCCTTTTCTACACCTTACATGATTTATGGGATTATGAAAATAATCCACACAAAACCATGTGACACTGTTTGGACAGGACCACATTAGGTTTGTCTGACTGCTGGCAGGTGATACCCACATCCCGACGTCACAGATGATGTCCTGGGTGATGGGAGATTCTAGAAGCTTCCTCAGAACCTGAAAGCTGTGAAGCAACGTGTCCGACTCATAGAAGTGGTCTGCACAGCCGTAACCACTGTAAAACATGTAGTAAATCAGAATATAGATGTGAGTAAAGCTGAAACTGGTTTAGTGCTGGTATTTCAGTATGGAAACTGATGTCAGTGAAAATTATGGATGCTTGTCTGATCATCACATCATGGATATTCATACCATATCTCCAGCTCTGGGCCAAGTCTGTATTTGGCTCCATGAGCTTTAGCAATCTCAATACCTGCAGAGAGACACAGACAGAACACAGCAAGAGTAAATGAGATGTACTGATTCTGTATATGTAACTGTGTATTACATGAATTAGGAGGATTGGGAGTGACCCATAAATAGGTCACAATCTATGTAACAAGGGGCAGCTAAAGCAGCAAAGGCAGAAATAATAATAATAATTAAAACTGCGGTCGCAGTTATGCGCGCAGTGATGAGCGGGCCCTCGCGTCCGTACGCCTGTCGGGGAGGGCGGCCGGTCGTCCCGGCGTCAAGCAGACGCGCGCGAGTCCTCGGAAATGAGCCGTTTGTCATTTCTCTAATTTCGCGTCCCAGGTCCTCCGGCAGCAACCCGGAAACGGATGTCGGCGCGCGGTCTGGAAGGAAAACTAATTTCTCTGAAGGCTCGTCGAGGATCGATTATCGAGGAGGCTGTCCGGAGGAGCCGTGACCGAGGATACACTGATTTAGAGGAGAGAATAGTGTCTCTGGAGGAGCTATAACCGATGGTACACTGAAGTATTCTCCGGAGACTATTTCAGCCAACAGTGATGTTTAAAAGAGGCGTGACGCATGGCTGGATGTCAACGAAGCACAGCTCTGCAAACTGTTCCCGTTGTGATTATAAGTTATTCAAGATGATCAAATGTGCATCAGACTTTCTGCCCTTTACCGTTTGTTTGTTTACTCACTAATCACATCTCCCCTGGATGTTAGGTTATGCTTTCATTGTGAGGCGATGTTTACAGTGAGAACAGCTGCTGAGGTCAGTGCAGAAAGCAGAACAGTGTGTATAATATATATCGCTCAATAATATATGTAACTGGCCTACATTTCACACTTTATTTGTAGGCTTTAGGAGATATCTACAAATAAACAGTAGATATTTTTCATGAAACCATATAGTGCTTCACATAATAAAATATACAAGGGCTGTAACCTGATATTTATTTATGCTTTAGGAGCTGTTTGTGTTTGTTGTACAATGTGTAGGTGTGGTTGTGTGTGTGTGGTTGTGTGTGGGGGTGTGTG